TTTTTTTTTTTTTTTTTTGTGGAATGAACCAGATGATTTTGGTAATACTATATTAATGTTTTCTAAAATTCTCCTTATCCAGTGTTCAGGCAGGGGGATATTGGCACAAACTGGTATGCTGTCTTAACAGGAAGTTTGGAAGTCAGAATCTCAGAGACAGGAAATCAGAAGGTTTGTGACATGGCAACATGTAAAATTTAGCATAGCTTTCAAATAATGAGCGTTGACTTGCTTGAATGGATGTGTAATATTAAAAAAATATGTACAAATTTAGACTGATTGCATCATGTACATTTATGCATGTAATAGAGAGAAGTAAGTTACTTAATAGATCAATTTATTATTATCATCATCATCATCATCATCTTCATTATTATTATTATTATTATTATTATTATTATTATTATTATCATTTTGCTCCTTTATCATGCAAGTAGTTAAATATATGCTTTCACAATGTCATCAGTAATTGTGTTAGATGTGAAAATCTAGAATGTGCTGGGATGTGATCCTGTGACTTGACATTGTGGTGTGTGCAATAGCCAATATGAGAGAGAAAAGGATGGGAGCATTATTGACCAGTAGTTTGTGCCTTTTTGACATCAAGTGGCGTTGTATTCTGCATTACACTAGTATGACTAACCCTAACATGTTATTACTACATTTTCTCCTAACTACCAATCAAAATTAATTGGGGCAATGAACCTGCCTTTTTGCTGGGAAAAGTTCTACTCTGGGTAAAATTTTTGTCTAGGTTTCATGGTAAGATTTTATGAAGGTTTCATGGTGAAAGGTTCACTTTTTCAGAAAAAGACCCCCCCTTTTGAAATTTCTGGCTATGGGCCTGCTGTATTATGCAATAGCCAAGCTATTGTGTTGTCTCAGACTGGTTAGACACAGAAAACTGCACTGTTTGCTCAACATGAAATGAGAATAAGATGTCACATGTTAGTTGAGATGCTACTTAGTTATGATAGTTATGGTGCAAGATTGTTTACTAATTGAGCTATCGCTGACTGCATTAGCTGAAATGTAATGGTGTTTAAAGGAAATTGATACATGCTTTCTAATAAATGGCATTGTGTTAATTATGGTGTGGTGTTAGTTGTGATTTGGCATAGTTCTGTTAGGCCTCATTCAGAATAGGGGGCTAACTAGTTCGAGGGTCAAATATGGCGACCCACTACAAGACTTGCCATCTAATCCACTAATAAACATTGTATATATATCCGATGGGGAAGTATTGAAGTGGGTCGGCCATATTTGGCCCTCGGTCTACTTAGGGCCCTATTCTGAATGAGGCCATAGATGTATTGTGTATTCTGTTTGAAAAGATTTGACAGTATACTAAAACAGAGTTGACAGTGTTTTGACACGTTCCAGGATGAAGTCACATTATGCACCCTAATGGCTGGGACAGCCTTTGGCGAGTCCATTTTGAACAACACCCCCCGCCATGCCACTGTGGTAACGGCAGAGTTATGTGAACTGTTACGAGTTGAACAGAAGGATTTTAAGGTGTTGTGGGAGGTAAGAGAAGAAGTATGCTGTAAAATAATATTCCATTCATTTAAAGAGGGACTTCTTGTATTGGGAAAGAATAGGCTAACTGATAGCTCTATTGTGTACAAAAAAAGTATCACAAATGCTACACAGAAATATGTTTTTAATGATTTTAAAATTATGTTTCTGAAACATTGATATTTTTCCCCATTGAGGAGATTGAGTCATTGCTGCAGATTTTGTTAAATAATCCAGGATGGGATACCTTTGACAAAAAATGAATATGAACATAGAGACAGACTACTGGCTCATTGCAATTTACACACCTTGATGAAGAAAAGTGTTTGCTATACCAATAAGTTGACCTTCAAAACAGAATAATACTTTTGTGCCACACCTTTTAAAATAATGCACTTCTAACATATAAGGGTGAATGGACTCCTTTGAACATAACTCGAATTAGCCCTGTATTTTTTTATATTGATTTTTCATCACCTTTTAAGTCCTCAATTTTTTCCAGTTTACTATGATGGCGCTACCAAAATGAACATTCCATGTGCTTCAGAATAATCATTGTGCTTCCTATTGACTTAGTTTTCTCCACTTTCACTGAATGTGATTGATGAGGAGAGGAGGAGGATAACACTGCTGAAACATGCCTCTTTTCCAATCATGCTAAGACAGCTTAACTTAACAGATCTGTATATATATATATATATATGCTGTACTTGAAGTCTGGTTAAAAAGATGCTTGATGTAAAAAGGCATTTATTTACAACAGCACCCCCCCCCCCCACACCCACCCACCAATCCATCCACACCATTGTGTAGCTATGTAAAAAGAACCAATCATAATGGGGCTGTAAAGAAAAGTGTATTTCGTGATGTAAAAAGAGCCTGATAGTATATCAACCCAAACTGATCCACCATCATAGTTTTGATCCGTCATACATATTTTACAATATTTCAACCTCTCTGTAGTATGTATATAGTGCACTTAGTGACTTGCACAGGAAGGCCAGTACTGAACAATACCAGGCAGTCTTGCAGGCAATGAAAGGATAAACAGTTCGGTTTGAAGATGCTTCCTCCGGGAAATTGAGCTGTCATGGTCTGAAAGAGTGCTCAAGCTTAGCTGATGCATGATGAAAAATGATGTATTATATTACTAAGGTTTCATCTTTTTAGACAGCTGTTGTCACGTAGTAAAAAGATCCTGAGCTCCAGGATTTTATCGAAGATGGATTTCAAATTAAACTTTTCTTCTGTCGTCATTGCACAATCTACTCCTTAGATATCCAATGCAGTTTTACTTATTTTTCACACAGCTGGCTTTAATCAAGAGGGGGTATATTTTTCTTTTAAAAAAGGGTAAATTTTATATCTAAGCACTCAGTCTGAGTAAATTGACCAATGCCCCTTCCGTTTAAGAGTGTGCAAATATGATAGTCATCATAAATAGGTAAAATAGAAAAAGTCATGTGATTCATTCATAAATTGTTATCAAGTAATCGCGCGAGTAAATTATAGGCTAATTTCTCACATTATTAAATTCTCTAATTTTCACTCTCTGAACCCCACCCTGGGGGGGATAAATCACTGGATAAGCCTGAACAAAACTGAGATTTGTCAACTATCAAAACAATTTGATACTTACATTGCAGGCCCGTAGCCAGGGGGGGTTCGGGGGGTTCGAAAGAACTGCCCCTTTTGCTGGGAAAAGGTCCACTCTGGGTAAAGTTTGATCTAGGTACAAGAAGTTTTTATGGGAAAAGGTCCACTTTTTCAGAAAAAGAACCCCCCTTTTGAAATTGCTGGCTACGGGCCTGCATTGTAAAGGGCAACTACATGAGATTTACCCAACAAGTGTTTATTAAAGGTGTTTAAATGTTTTCAAGTTGTATGTAAGGTTTTATAAGAAGCTGTGGATGGCAAAAATAAGCATTTGGGGCATTTTCAAAACCATGGTGGATTGACAGCTATATGTGCATGTATAGGCATCTGTCAATTGCTGCATCCTTTGTCAGTCAGAATCTGAGCTAAAAAAAAAGGAAGGCTGCCCATAGTTAAATCAAGGTAGGCTAATGTTGGGAGAGAGTCTCTGTATGTGCAGCCTCACAGTTCACCTGCCAGGGACAGAGAACAATTGAATTTATGGATATAGGCCAGGGGTACATGTAGAGAACCATGAGGGAAATAGACCTGATAAAGTCCAAAAAAAAAAAAATAATAAAATAAGGGCATCAGATTTGATTGAAGGGCAGTAAGATAAAAAGATGATGAGGTTTAGATCTGGGATTTTCCTCCTTCAGATCAAAGAAAGCAGGGCTCTATCTTTTGATCTATTGACCAATTTTGATGAAGATCTCGAATGAGGTAAGACTTCGAGCTAGGTTTTGCTGTCTGCATGAGTGCTTAAAAGGGAAAAAAACATATTCAGTTTGGTATTGATTCACTTTGGAAAGACAGTTGAAGGAGAAATATTATGTCAAAGCATGCATATATATTTTTGATTCATCAAGTTGTCACAGTGGTTTTAATCAGAAAAAAAAATTAAATTGGGCATACTGGACACTTTGCCTGTGCTGATAGTCACATGAAAGCAGTGATAATTATCAGTTTTCTGAGGAAGTCTTTAGGGTACCGACAAATTGCACCACAGCTCAATCCATCTGTATGTACAGTGTGACTTGATTCAATTTCCAGGATTTCTAAGAATTTTAAATGTTGTAATCTCTTTTGAATATCCTAGAGATAGATGGCCAATTTTGATTTTATTTACAATATATATCAGACAGGAGTTGGTTTTGGAATGCTTTCTTTAAAAAGTTTGATAATGTTAATTTTTTATCTTTTCAGAGAAATCAGCAACTCATGGAAGGAGCTTTCAATCCGGCCATCTCCACACTGCCCCAGCTTGGTAAGGATGTGTGTTGTGTTAAAATACTGTCTCAACTAACACAATGTCACACTTCTCTGTAATCACTTTCACACACTCTGAAACTATCATTTTCTTATAGCTTGTTAAGGTGTTAGAGCACAAAAAGTCTTCTATTTATCAGTCTTTTTTTTTCGTTTTATTTACATATTTACTTAATTATGTCACCATACCTTACCTAGTATCTTCTTTTTGTCTTTTCATAGGAAATAATGTAATGCTTCAGCCTGTCCCTGACCACTTCTGGTTCTGCACTCCAGCTAAGGCTTATAAAATGATCTGCATCTTTCAAAAAAATATATATTTTAGATACAACTTACCGCAGAGTGGCTGACCCTCGTAGACGAAGTGTGAAAGAAGGGGAGAATACTTTGACCAATACAGCTACTCCCATTACTTCTGTGAGTTGATTTATTTTTCTTTTTACTATCATTATTTGATCCACTGTCAAGAATTGTGATAAAACATTACAAATATTTGTGAAAGAGCATGTTTCCTGCAGGGCTATCATGTTTTAGCATGGTTAAAAATTGAGATAGTTTTATTGATAATCCATATAGCCAGGTATGTGATGCATATTGTATTTCAATAACATATTCGTATGCAGGGAAACGTGAAAGGAATAGGAGTGTGTATGTGCATGATAACTATTAAATATCCTCTCTCTCTCTCTCTCTCTCTCTCTCTGTACTTGTTATTTAGATGTTATTTAGAAAGATTGATGGAGTTGAATAAGACTTGAATACTATCATTAAATTGTTGCAATATCAAAGTTGAAAGATAATTTTATGATGATTGATTATGAAGAAAAAACCCGGACACTGCAGACACAGTGCATGCACTTAACTGGCACATTGATATACGACAGAAAGAAAAAGCTTATCATTTATTACATCTCTCAATGTCTCCTGCATAACTAGTTTATTTCTGTAGACCCAGGGATGGAGATAATGCAGCTTAATGGGGTTGGTCTCAAGATGCCACCACTACCGGAAAATTAGTTCTTTAAATGGGTATGTGTGAGGATCACACAGCATATTGTGTTCACTTTTGTTTTGGCCACATTATAGATAATTATTATATTAGTTTAATAGTGTTCATGCTGGACTAGCTACCACGTGCACAGAACTTTAGACTGTGCCATGTTGTATTTGCATGAAGCAGATCCAGTCTTATTTGAAAGTGGTACTGAGAAATACTGGAATAATTGCCACGTTTGAAATTGCTAAGAAAATGCCGTAAAGGTGAATGAAGAAGATATAAGCACTAAGTCAGAGGAAAGATCAACCGTGACAGACAGTCTTCAAGAAAAATGATTGTCTTTTGCACACAAATGTGAAATGGATTTTTTTTTCTTTCACATCAAAGTGAAAGGGATCTGGAGTCACATTGCTGAATGTGTTTTGAAGAGAAAATGATTTTCTTGCACAAAATTACGAGGGATCTAGAATCATGCTGCTGATATATCAGTGAGACATTCTTCTAGAAAGTTAGACATTTTGCCTTCAGGAAAGTCTGATTTTATTGAAAAGCTAGAAATCTGAGCTGACATTCTTAGGGGAGTTTTCTATTATTTGAGAGATAGACAGGAGAAATGTGGTGTCAAAGCAGCAGCTATTATCTTCAAGAAAAATGATACTTTTGAGGCATAAAAAACAGGCAGTGTATTGACCTCTGCTGTTAGGTTGGAATATTTATTTATATAATAGAAATGCATGTCTTGCATGTCGACAGGTAGGGTAGCTAGATAGATAAAGTATATATCACATATGGTTAAACAGAAGTGGATTTGTAATGCGGATAAAAACTATTTGTTTTTATGTTGATTTTATATAATTTTATCAAATATTAGTGTGGGATTCAGGTATGTACTGTGAAATGTGTTGGAAAGATTAGACTCATTTTTTCCACAGCATGTGCTGATTCTTACAATTATTTTTATAAAAAAAAAATTTTGTCCAGGACAGATTTGATCTGTCTTGCTTGAAAGGTGATATTGGGATAGATATTTAATATAACATTTTAGATACACAAGCTACTAATTAGAAAGTATTGAATGATCTTGTTGAAAATGGTGTTAAGAAATGCAGGTTTATTACTATTATGAAGAAGGTCTTTATTCAAACTAGATAGGTTCTAATCTGGTTAAAAGTTGGTTCTCATATCGTTTACAGTTGGTTCTGATTCAGTTTAGAGTTGGTTCTGATAATGTTAAGAGTCCAGGTTTGATAGGCTTATTGGATATTGATAGAATTTATGTGGGTTCACAGTTGATTGTAAACAGTCAAGGTTGATTGCTTGATCAGTATGCTCTAAGAGACCCAGTGGCAAACAATCTGAATAATATTTTTTAATGTGATTTTCACCTCTGATTGAGTGTGTACTCTTGAAGGTGACATACATTGCTGGTCAAGAGGACAAGCAATATCAAAGTCAAACCTTTCATAACAATGCAGGGAATCTATTTCACAGAGAATGCTAATTATAATAATAATAATAATAAGTAACGTACAGCACATAGCTTATTATGGCCTTGTTTGCTAAATTTCCATTTGGCAAATGGCACTAGAACAACTATTGCTGATTCAGAACTAATAGGATGGCTTTTTTTGTGAAATAAACATTTGTTTATGAAATTATTGGAAGGGTTCAACTAGGTCTTAATGATGTATCCCTGCAGCAGTAGAGGGGATTTGAACCCTGGATGCTGGTGATTAGCGGTCTAAAGCTGCATGATTTCATGCATCAGTAAAATGCACAATTTTGTAGAATAGATCTTTAGATCAATATCATCTTATGCATGAGAATGTGTATATCCCCGGCCATAGGCCTGTCACTTTCACAGACTAGATTATTCTTAAATTCCCTGTTTATTTATGATTCAGTGCTTTGGCGTGATTTGTATTTGGTTGTTCGTTTGATTGTGTTAAAACTTCAGGTTTAAATGCCACCATTGTGAAGATTTGACAGCCTATAGCTCTTCTGAGGTCTTGCAAGACAATTTGCTACTTTCAAGCTGATAAGTAAACTAAATGAGGATTTGAACTTTACATTTTGCTTTTTGTCTTCCTGAGTGGAATACATGCATTTCATGCACATGACTATCTTACAGCTTAATATGAAATTGGTTCTATTTTTTTGTTATTTTTGTAACGATTGCATGTATATGTCAATCACAAAACAGGCTTCATATTACACTAAAGTTCACCCCTTTAGCCTTTGATAAGACAAGGATGGAGGGTAAGAATAACACCTAAAAGTTGATGAATGTTTCAAAAATATATTTGTGATGAATGATGAGGTTTAAGACCCGAGGTTGATGGCAATATATCAGTATAATTGCAGTGATTTTGAACATTGATTTTAGCTGGAACTTCAGGGTGATCAATCATGCTTTTCATTGAACATATATATAGATATAATACATTTTTACTTTTAATAATAAGATCAATATTTTGCAATATAGGTTAAAATGGGGAATTAATTAAAAACCCTATAATGTTTTCTATTAATGTTGCCTAAAGGTTTTCAAGAGTCATCATCTATTGCCTGTTAGAATTAGACCTTGCATTAGCCTGTGTCTGAGTATATTGGAGAGAATGGAGCCAAAGAAAGGACAGTTCATGCAGTGAGATACATGTATGGCCATTTTCTAGGGAATTTTCATTGAAATTGTCCTGACATATTCTTATAGGACAGCTTTTATGGTCAGATGATGTTTTTCAAGAGAATGTTTTCTATAAAAATTGTACACAGATAGTTTTATTTGGATAGCTTTTGTGGCCAGATAAACTGCATGACATATTCAGCACTTCATTGTAAGAAAAATGCAATGACATGATGAATGAGAAGGTAAAGGTTATTTAATGTCAATTTTTGAGATACCAATACCTCACTTTTTTCTGTATAATTATGTTAAACTTCCAAAATATACAGTTTTCAGTACTTTATAGCACAAAACCAACTATAAGGCCTCATTTAGAATAGGGGATTAACTAGTCCAAGTGTCAAGTATGGCTGACCCACTTGAATACTTCACCACAGGATATCTGCATGTTCAGTGTCTATTAGCGGATTAGTAGACAAGCTTTGTATAGTGGGTCGCCATATTTGACCCTCAGACTAGTTAGTCCCCTATTCTGAATGGGGCCTTACAATGTGGATGCTTTGAATCGACATTTAAAAGTTTTACTGACAAACAACATTTTTGGAGAAACTTTAAACTTTAATGTTGTTTTATTTTATAAATAATTATCATGATAGTTTTCAGTGACATGTTGGCATCCAGGGTAAAGAGATGGGATAAAGTGAACGATATTAGATGTCTAAATTATAGAAGCCTTTCCCCTGATAAAATATGTGAGATATTACTAATGATGTTTGCTATGGGCTTTGACATGCATGAGCCAGTAAGCTGAATTTTAAATAAACCAGCTAGTACAGAAGGTTTTTTACAGAATTTTGACATAAAAATACCATTCACAAATTTTGAGTACTTACTGACTATAATTCTGTTGCTTCCCAAACCCAGGTACCAACTTGATGTATACTTTGTGACTGATTTGCACTTTATTCTCTTAGTTAAAATCAAGGAGGTTGAACAAAACTTGAGACAGGAGCCCCCCCCCCCCCCCCCCCC